CGCCGCGCCCGCCCCCCGCCGGGAGCCTCCGCGCCTCCTCGGGCCCGGCCTCCCCCATTTTTTTAAAAACACCAAATGCCTCTTGTCATCCCACTGTCAGTGGAAACCGCAAAACCAGACGTTTTGGCGACAAGCCCGCAGTTGCTCACGCAGGAAGCAGCGAGGCAACGCGCCCCTCGCACGGGCGGCAGGCAGCGCAGCCTACCTCCTCCTGGGCGGCCAGCAGCAGGGGGGAAAGGGCTGCAAGCCTGCACAGTAGCCAAATTAAATCCCCTGCCACTGCCCGTACAAAACCCTAAACAATGAGAGCCTTTGTGTTTTAAACTCCAGCACTGAACGTGTCAAATTCCACAAATTCTTGCGATAATAAAACATTCAGAATGAAGTTAATACCCGGAGTGATCATGACAGCATCACACGTAACTTCATTTTTACTACGCCTACTCTTGCTTCCATGCTTTCACGTGCAAATAAGGAAAGCACACGTATACATAAACGTATGCATGTAAGTCAGTTTAAAAAAAAAGTATAGTTATACAAGCAACAGGAAGGCCTAAAATGAGCTGGGAAGATGCACTCTTTTTCCCAATTGCCAAATAATTGCCTGTCCTCATAGAAAAGTTTTTGGCCATTTCCATTAACACTCCAAAACTGCACCGGAGGGCTGGTATTGCAAACACTCTTCAGCTAAAAGCTTTTGGTTGCAGTATTATTCCTCCTAACAGTTTGTATAATCTTTAGTTTACAGAGAGGCTGTCTGCCCTCATCCCTAAGCTGTTACTCCTTATACTCATCTTCTCTTACTTTTATTTTGTAGCTCAGAAGCTCAACTGAAAAAAAAACATATTTTAGATTTTAATTAAATATCATGTGGCTGGGGAGCAGAGAGAAGGAGGGGACAACAAACTTGCCTTCCTTGCCTACACAATCCGCTAATAGCCCTGCAGAAAACCGGTTTTACCAGCTCTTCACTCTCAGCACAATCATCTCAACTGTTGCCTATAAAGACTCGTGGTCTTTGTATTTCAAATGGATGTTGAATAACCTTGAAAAGATGATCTTCCTAAGCCTCTACTGGGGAAAAACTTCTGCAACTGCACAAAATTCATACCTGACAGGCTCTATTTATTAACGTTGAATGATTTCTTTCAGTTGCCAGTACCCGGCTGCTGCAAAGGTCTCAGTGACCTGGTTTTAAACCAGCTGCCTTGTTTGAACTGAAATCCCTCTTCGTTTCTGTTTTACCCCACCAGAAAACAGTTGCTCCTCTGAAGAAGCTATCCCAAATTAGGTATGTGGGAGTTTGGGTCAACCGAGTTAGTACTTTAAGTACAAGAAGTCAATCTCGGAAATTTCCATTTATACCTAAAAATAACATGCATTTTATACAGTAACGCATCAACGTGACCACCAGCAAGCATCTGCACGGATCTTCTGCTGGGGGTTTGTTTTACTCCAAAAAAGAAACTGTGCACTATCATATATTTTTAAGCCAGAAATCACCTGCAGAAAAATGAGCTCCAACAGCTGTAAATAAGAGAATTCAAAATAGCACCTGAAGGAATAAAAGCAAGTTGCAGGTAACGTATTTTCTAGAATTCAAGTAGCTCTTCTCCGGCCGCGCTCTTTTGGAAGGGCGCCACAAACCTGAACCCACGCGACTGCGTTTTCAATCTGCTCTGACACTGGAGCAGCCGGGCCAGGGCACAGAGCAGCTCTAGGGTGGAGGTGTCACAGGAGGAGGCTGCTGGAAGAGCCACAAGCCGCTAGCGCAGCAAGGGCAAGAAGCCTGGCCATGCTCCTACTCTGTGGACTTTAGAGCTCAGACTATGTTTTGCAAGCAGCGGCACTTAAGTGACACCACAGAATAGCTGAAAATGAATGTCTGAAATCACCGTGCCATAGTTATATGTAATACTAAAGCAGGTACCTGAGCAGGAGAGACACGCTTATCTAAACACAGATCTTACAGGAAAACACAGCTCTCTCTCAGCCTTTTACGCTTAAAGCCCTTTGGGAAACAAGTAAGTAGCAACGCCCGGCTCCGCGGGGAGCGCAAGGCGCCGAGGAGCGTGACCGCGCTCGGCAGCACACCCATCGACACAACGCGCGCTCTTACAGACTCGCGAGCGCTATTTTCTTCAAACTACTATCAGCTTTTTTTCCCCCCTCC